TTGGAAGGGTCGGTTTTCGACATTATTTTTCTCGGCGGAATATGCCACATCGAGGTGAAATCGAATTGTAATTTAGTCTGTATACCAGGAATCATTGGGAAATAGGGAGTTTTGATGGATTGGAGCAGCAAAGCAGCTGCACTTTAAGTATTAGTCTATAAAATATATATTGTCTGGAGGGCCCTCTGGAAATCCTGTGTTGCTGTGTGCTTTTTGTGTGTGTGTTAAATTTGTCTTCATTTTAGTTTACTGGGTTTTTTTGGGTCAGTCGCTGCCCATTTGGGGCAACTACACATGCACAATCAGTTTTTCTGTGACATCACAGCCATGTGCATTTATTTGGGCCTACCAGCTTTGCCGTGCTGGCCTGTTCTACAATGTACGTTGAGTCGAGACTTTCACAAGCATTTATTCGCTTGATGTCTTTTTTTTAAGTGTGTGTACTAGAATGCCTTTTATGGAAAACATTTCAATGCTTGATCAAGAAATCGGCTTGTTTGTTGGTTCCATCTGGCTGAAACACGGATGCCTGTGTTAATTTTAGCGTTTTCCATGTGTTCAGGTATAAAGTGGCATCGGCATTTGGGATGATATCCTAGTGTTCCAGATCATTTGAACAGGGGGCTTTTTGGTATCTTTTTCACGAAAGGTGGAAAGTTACTGCCCTTTCATTTGAGATTTTATGAATCATTTGTACTGCAATCTAACTCAGCCAGCAATCTTTGTGATCAAGAGAGAAAATCCTCTGCGGCAGTGAATGGAACATATCTACCTGGTCAGTCAAACAAAGGAGTGCTTGGTGGTGGAATTGATATCCGCGGTCAGGTATTGTTGTGCTTTGAATGTATCAACTTGTTTTATTCCTTTTGCATTGTAATCGGATTTGTAAGCATGGGCCTCTTGATAAGCGATTGTACATGTAAGCCACAATTTTCAGGACATTATCCCACAACTTGCTTAAGACTGTGGTAAATGGAATGCAATGCCGCTGTGCAAGCATGTATTTGCAGCACTTCCCTTATTCCCATTCAAAAGGTCAGAGGACTGCGTGTGCGGTTTACGCAAAACACGTTTCTGCTGTCAGCCAACCCTGATCGGTAAGTGTATTGAGGATGTCCTGCACTTTAAATCAATAAGTGTGTATTGCGCTAACGTGTGTAATCCATGTATTGTGTCATTGTGTGAACATTTATTCTGGCTTTAATTATATATACAAATATATAAAAAGTAAATACACTATGCCTAGAGGTAAGGGAAAACCTGGAGAAAGACCCAACTGGGGAAAGTCTAGGCAAAGCTCAAAGGGCAGTCAGCAAACCTGCGCAAGACTGAAATGAAAATATGAAAACGGACTTCAAAGGATTAAAGGGAACAGTCTTACCATTAAGAGCGAGAATGACCTCGGGTAGAAAGAATAAAGGTTTGATTGAGAAATGAGACCAAAACAAAGCTTAGTGAAGAAAAACTCTAGAAAATATTGGAGCTTGACAAAAACACATTCGTAATAGTAATGGCAACAAGAAAAAGGGGAAAATCATGGCGGCTGCATCTGCGGCAGTGACGCAAGTAAGGGCGCACTGCCGGGTGATCGAGAATTTAGTGAATGGATCAATGGCCTAGGAAATAATGCATTATGTGTATTGGTAATCTGCGTAGGTTGCAGGCAGTAGATTTCCACCTTGATTTTTGTTTATTCCGACCCAAATTTGATAGGCTTCTTAGAATCACCAGGAGCAATTTGAAAACAAAATTGTCCTCTATTGTTCAGGGTCCCAAAATGAATGCAAAAACAAACTCCCACCCATACACCCAGGGAAGGAGAAGGCAGACACAGTGTGCCCCACCAACGAACATAATTACACATGCAGGTTAAAATACTGGCAATTCAATGCGATGCACCACCTGAAGGTTGCCATGGATAGGATTTTGCTGTGCATTGTGGGAAAACGGTCAACAAAAGTTCTGTGTGCAGGCTGTACTGTGCATGGAAATTGAATGAAAACTGGAAAAAATGAAAAGCCATCCATTTTTGGCTGACCATATACTTGAAAATGACCTCTCCATAACCACCTCTTGGTGCGCATACTGTATTGTGAATCACCGATATTGACTGCTTCACCCCAATTCTTTCATTTTTCAAGTTCAAATGGCATCAACATCCATAGGAATACATGTACATATCCTCATCTCTTGATTCCACTGGAGTTGTGATCCTGTTTAGCTTTTCTCCTGTCAGCCAAGAACAAGTTTCCATTGCATTTCTTTTCAAAATTGTCAAATGGGTGTACAAATTGCATGCAGTTTGATACCAGTTTAGGAATAGGCTCTAAAGGGCAGATCCCCATATCCATTAATTGTTCTACATGCTTTCCCTTGAGAACATTGGCATGTAAATACTTGAAGGTCAATTTTGAAGAAGAAATGATCCATTAGATCTGACTGAATAGGGACATGTAAATGCAGACACATGTATAATAAAGACTAACCTGTTTTGCAGCTTCTACCATTTTGTCATGAATATCAGCATGGTCAAACAAAGATCGTCCAAGGGAAGTCAGACTTGATAATAACTGTACTTTCACTCTGTGGGACTCTGTAATAGACATACATCGACACATTTAATAATTGCAAAAAAGAGCACACAGTTACTTTGGACCATGTCATAGCCAGTGGGGGAGGAGGAAATTCTTCCCCCCCTTTCGCGGAACTCAACTGTCAAATGCCTGATGTCTTTTTTGGCATGCATGTGAAGACACTCCTTATCAGTACAAATGTGAAGTTTTAACTCAATCTGACATACATTATGGTATAGTTGTTATGGTCATTTGAATTTGAGGACCTCAAATTGTGATGTTTACAAAAGGGTTGTATTCAGAATTTGTAAAAAACATCCTATCCTCTACAATTCAACCCCCACCATCCCTTATCTACCATGTCTACTTTGACTCCACCCCTAATCCCATCTATCTCCAATCCCACATCCATCCATATCCTACTCCACCTGTCCATCATCATGTCCATCTCTTACTCTGCCCCTCCCCGTCATCCTATCTCTTTCTCTGCCCCCTCCCCATCATTCCCTTTACTTCTTATTCCACCCCTGCCTATCATCCCACTAATCCAGCCCAACCATTATGCCAACCTTATCCAGCATTTCATCCACTTTCTACATACATTTACTTTGTTCCCATGATCCTCCTCCTACAGATACCCCTCCCCAAACAAACATCCTAATCTGTCACTTGGAGTCCCCTCCCCCATCCCTCACAATTTTCCCACATAATATACATGTACATGTACGTTTGTATGTGTCTAAACACTGTCTTTACATATACATGTACATTTAATACAGGAGTGCTCAGTACATAAGAACTGTATATACTACAGGGTTAGTACACAATACAACTCAAAATATTCATCACTTCCAGCCGGGGGCTCCGGTACCGGAGGCATAGGCCTTATATTTGTGGCCGGGGTCTCCAAAATGGAACTTTACTAAAAAAAAAAGTTGCTGGGCATTTCTTAAAAAGTTTGGTGCTGTCAGTTAATAGGTTTAGGCCCTCATTGGAGGTAAATAAATTGGTCTAAGGCAATAATGGGTTGCTGGGGCCGGAGAATTGGGACTTTATTTTATAACCGGGGTGACCGAACTTATAAAAGCCTGTAATAAAATTACGAGCTGCTGAGAGCTGCCGGGCACTGCCAATCAATCCCCGTATTCTTTCAGAGCAGAGCGCTGACATTAGTGGGGGTCATCCATGTCTTGTTTGTGCAGAACGCTATTGTTCATGCTGCCGGGCGCTCGTAGCGGATTATCACTGCACTGAAGACAAAGCGCGGGCTGTGCGGGCTCATTATGCACCTGTGCCCCTTGAATGACTCGGCCTGGGCGCTGCTGGCCCTTGCCACGTTGACTGACAGGGCTCGGCCCTCGCTGCTTGAAAATAAAATTGCCATACAGTGGCTGCATGTGTGCATATTGGGTATCGTGTTATATCTGGAGAGTCTGGTTCTTCCAGTGAAAGCGAGTTTTATCTGAGTTCAGACGAAGGTTCTTCGTCTTCTTCATCACCGCCGTCACCTGCTCAAGTACAGAAATTATCAGTGATGTACCCTTGGCAGTATATGCCAAGCGCAAGAGACAGTCCCCGACACAGACTGCCGCGTCGACCAGCAGCAGTGCCGCACCGCTCCGGTGGACAGATGAAGTACGGCTTCACCAGTAATGGTGGTGCCATCGATCCCCACCTGAATCGCAGCTTGACTTGCAGTGAAGCCTTTGAACTGTTTTTTGACGACATTCTCTACAACAAGATAGTGCAAGACACCAACCGGTATGCCGTGCAGAGGCCCGCTACGACATCGGCGCACATGCTATCATGGACTGATCTGAACACTAGAGAACTGAAATCCTTTCTGGGCCTTTGCATAATGACGGGCATTGCGAAGCACCCCACCCTTCACAGTTCTGGTCCACTAACGCACTACTGAAGATGAGCCTATTCCCGTCCGTCATGCCTTGAGATCGCTTCCTTGCCATCCTGCAGTCCCTGCACTTCAACGATAACACCGCCATGCCGGAGGACTGTACTGACCGCCTCTTCAAAGTGCGCCCAGTCATCGACCATCTTGCTCAGAAGTCTGTCACTGTCTACGTTCCTCGACGGGACATTTCCGTCGACGACTCCCTGTTGAACTTCTACGGGCATCTCTGCTTCACTATCCACAACCCCAGAGAGGGCCCGCTTCGGCATCAAGATGTACAAGTTGTGCCAGAGCACAGGGAGTGCCGCCGGGTACTGCCACAACTTCAAAATCTACACTGGCCAAAGTAAAGGAGACCTCCCAGCAACTACACAAGTGATGATGGGCCTGGTGAACGACCTAAGCGGCAAGGACTACAACCTTGCCCTCGACCGGGCCTTCAGCAGTCCCGATTTGTTTCGACGACTTCACAACCAGAAGTTCAACGTCGTCGGCACCGTCATGGCGAACAGAAAAGGGATGCTGAAAGACTTGCAGTCCGTCAAGCTGAAGCGGGGCGAAACAGCCTTCCGGTTGGCCGACCTGGGCGTCAGCGGTTCTCTCCTGGCCATGGCGTGGTGAGACAAGCGCAACATCCGTATGCGCTCCACCATGCATACGGCAGACATCCGTGGCTCCAGCAAGCAAGACAGAACGGGGAGGAAAAGCAGAAACCGACCTGCGTCATCGAATACAACGCCCTGATGGGGGGCATTGACAAGAGCGACTAACTAGCGGCAAATCATTGAGCTACTCGTAAGTCCCTCAAATGGTACAAGAAGCTCTTCTTCTACCTGCTCGACTTGACGCTGGTGAACAGCTAAGCTACGTATCTGGCCGTTGTTCACCGCCTTTCCTTCCTCGACGACCGCTTGGGTCTTGTCCGTGAGCTGCTGTTCAACGAGCCCTTGACCGAGTACCGTCCTCAGCACGATACTCCACCAGTCACCAACTCCCGCTTTTTCGGCCAACACTTCCCCGTGGACTTTGAGAGGACCAGCTATGGCCCGGCAGTGCATATAACGGTTAAAAAAAAGCTCCCAGCAGCAAGTGCTTAACATTCTACTTTTATAATGTTTTCATTAACCCTAACCCCCTAGGGTGTATGTAAAATCGTATTGAAATTGGAGGATTTGGGACTGTTAGGGTTAAATTCATAAGTTTCTAAGTATTAATGCCATATAAGACTATTTACACACTGAGGGAATTCCAGGAGGAAGCAAACATTAATGGCACATTTTAACAACGATGGACTTGCAAGGAAAAACTTTAGCAATTGAGAACGGATGGACAGACGGCCCTACGGCCCAACAGACAGATAGAAGAGGGAAATCGGTAGAGGCTTGCATTCGTTTCGCCAACAATTCAGTAGTAAATAACCCTGAAGCACTGAACACTTTTTATTATTTTATTTATTTAACCTTACATGTACATGACAAGGTATGCACAATTACATACATGTATTGTCTAATTTTTTAACTCAATAATTTTTCTTTCCTTTGGGAGTTTCCCAACTGAGCTCCTGTGCACATATGGCCAACACAGGAAGTAAGTACATTGAACAGGAACTTGTTGCATCGGCTCAGTGCGCCCCACATGCCACATGTGCATGAACCTGTTGATGCACGTGGTACATTCCCACCTATGAACCATCTTTGCTTTGTCACAGCACGCCTTCTCTTGTTCACACTCAATGCCGATTGGTAATACAAATACATAAAACTTTATGGAAGTAACAAATTGGTTTGAGTTAACTGAACTAGATGTGTGTCACAATAGTCATTGTTATACCACTGCAATAGTTAACAATAGTTTATTGGTCAAGAAGACATCATGTGATATGCCGCAAACATGCATGCACACGTACCTTGGATTAATCAAAAGTATGAGTGATGTACAGTCCGTACCCCACAAGCTACATCACCTTGATCTTTCTGACAATCGAAAATATCATTTCCACTGTTTTGATTATTGAATTCAAAACTTGCAAGCAATAAACCAGTTAAATGATTAAGTACGGGCCTATGTGCCTGTGAAATTAGGCCATGCATCAGGCAAAATATTGTGTGGGCCCGGTGTGGGTAAAGTGATGCATGGGCTAAGTGGCAAATGGGTGAAGAGGCAAATGGGCAAAGTGGTAAATGGGTGAAGTGACAATGGGCAAAGTGACTGTGACTGCCACTTCTGTTTCATCCTTAGTTCAGGATTTTAAATGAGCCAATTTTGCTGTAATTTCACTGAAATAATGTAAGCAGATGTTGGTAAATCACATTGTTCTTTTGTATCCATGAAATCTATTACTAAATTAAATTAATTAATGTCTGTTGTGACAGGGTCGGTGGGTTTTGTACAAACACCATGGACCCTTACACAGCAGCCAACAATTGTATGGCGTTTCAGGGACAGGTACATGTTCCAACACACATCAGATACAGACGTACATGGAGACACACTGTGCATATACATATACGTGTACATGCACTTTTAGTTTGGTTTCATTTTTTTGTGACCTAATAGCCAAAATATGTTACAGGATAAAAAGAGGCATCATTACTACTAACTTGCCTTTAGTAAGACGTGCAAAATATCCTCAGAATGTACATGTACCAAATACTGCATTAAGAGACAGAAACATACATGTTGTTCATGCACATTAACCCTAACCGCTAGGGTTGTATGTAAAATTGTGTTGAAATTGGAAGATTTGGGACTGTTACTGTTAGCACAACAAAACAACACCGCAATAGTCTTAAAAAGTTACAAACAAGGGTTTAGAATAAAAAAAAATCCTGCTTAAAATATCAATACAAAGGGGGATCAAGCTGTTTTTTAATCGGGCAGTTGCTGCAGGAATCTGTAACATTTTGTAGCTGCATGTACATGCATTTCTTTGACATCTACATGTACTATGCTAACAAATCTGGGATGTGATAACAAGAACATATTTTTACTGAGGGCTTGAACAAATTTCATCTGACAGCTTAAATTCCTATCTACAATATGAGGTTTGGAATTATGGCCCAATATAATCTTGCAAGCTCTTTTTGGATAGATTTGATTTATTAGATT